GAACCTCTGAATAATATACATCTTCTGGTTTCCCAAAATCATTATTTGGTAGAAAGAGTCTATTTCTTACTATTTGAGCAAACACAGTGGAGTCAAGTCATAAGATTTTGGCCTATATTTTTTAGAAGACTGCCCTATGGCAGATTCACTACAAGTGATGCCAACAGCACCTCTATGCAGTTCAGCTGTCTCAATGGCCAGCTACCTGTCTGCTAACAAACTGCTAACATTTTTAGCTAGAATTTTTCTAAACTACTTTTTTTGGATCTTCTGTGACATGAAAGAGGATCAGTAATACCAAATTGCTAAATTCAGTAGGCTACCCTCTACAAATCCCTAATTATAAAGCCTGAGTCTGGCCCTGTTTATATTTTGTCATTCTCTTTGAATTCCTTCCAGTTTTTAAACATAATTTTGTAAAGTGTGGACACAGGGCTCAGCACCAGGATTCCTGCAGCTGTTCTATCAACACTAACTCAGAATAGAAGGAAGCCCCATAATGTCTACTTCAGAAGGCTAATGTGGGTTGTTAAAAACTGCTTCTACTGTCTCAGACTTTCCACCAAAAAAATATCCTTTTTCTGTGCTAGTTGGTATTGCCTCATAGCAACTTTGCCCAGGTAAACTGTGACCTAAAACGCACAGTGAAAGAGAGTGATGCTCTTGCTCTCTGACTCCAGAACATCTGCCTTTATCCTACTCTACAGAGAGGCAGATCACTTCTGAGTCTGAAAAATACATGCTATGTATTCCTCCCACATGTACTCCAATGGTCTGAAAAGTTTTTGGTAGAATCAGACAGTATTTTGTCCTTATATCATAAAGTATTAGTTTCGAATGGAAAACTGTGCATCTTATCTTGAGATTTACTGCTCCAGCCCACTATGATGTGGTTACTACTTCTATTACACTGAGTATGGTGCATACAGTTAAACCAAAGCATTATGACTAGAGTTACTGAGCAGAGTGCTTACAGATGATGCCTTTTCTTGTGTGTTAAAGGGCCCAAGAGAACATTCATTGGCACTGAAAATCTATGATTTAAACTGTTAGCTTTTCCCCCAGCATTGTTTTGGTTTTGACCAACTTGCACTATCCCAAATACTCTTCTAGCATAGGCTAAGGATCACTCCCAACCAGCAACTTCCATGCAACTGTCATTTTGGAAGGCAAGGGAAATAAATGTCATGAACACAGCAGGCCTTAGTGCCAGAGAACAGTCATTGCTATGTTTACTTTACTAAGACAGAGAAAGCCACAGTGTCTAGGAAAAACCAAGACTGACTTTGCAACAGAACAGAATATTTTAGAGACAACACGTCTCTGCATAAATCTTTCAGATTATAAATTAGTCATAAGGATAAGATAACACATCTTTAAATAGTTTGTGAGCCCTCCAGTGGTACAGTCTGTGTTTTGCATTGTGGATGCCAGCCAAAACCCACCAGAGAAGCAGTGTGTTCAACTCTATATGCCTGGCATGTTGCTGTTTATTGAGAACTATGGCTGTTTGGGATCAGTTTGAGCTGCACGGTTCCTCTGTACAGCTACTGCTGCAAAAGAAGCAAAAGGTCTTGCAGCCTTGTGCTGTCTGGCTTCGCAACAGAGAGTTTCAGGTCCTGGATTTGCAATCATGTTACATACAGAAAGTCTGAATTCAGTTGCCATGATCAGACAGAACAGGCAAATCCCTCCTGACATGCTTGGAATCTTGAGCATCATCTGTTCCACCACCCCCAGTTACCACCAAAGTTTTGGTCCTTTATTCCTCCTTTCTACACCCATCCTCTCAACTGAAGCACTATACTACAGACTGAGCTCAAAGCCGGGAGCTAGGGGAGTAAATCCCATACTGCTGCTGCTTCGACTGGCAAATAAAAGAGGCATAAAGCAGAAATCCTGGGAGATGAAAGAGGAATTTAGATTTCCTTATGGTGGAAACTGATGAGAAAAAGACGGGGCGGAAAGAGAGTGCAAAGCAAGTAGTATGATCATTGCTCTTGGAGACAAGGTGGGCCGGTCTTCCCCTGGAGGGTCTGCTTGAATATCTCTTTTCTCAAAGTAGCTTAGATAGAGGATTCCCACTGTTCCAGCTGATGACAGGCAAGAGGAGCCCTCAGAAAATGGTTGGCAATCTGACTCTGGTGTGACTCCTACAAGACCTCTGCAGACATTGGCATAAACATGCTCTGTTCAGGGACTCCTGTCCTGACTTCTCAAAACAGCACATATATTAAAAAAACAAAATACTGCCCTTTCAACTTAGAACAGGTTAGTGCAAGTCCGTTATTGCTGATTCCCTTCTAGTTATGCTTTTAAGAGTATCTATTTGTGAAAAAAAATAAGGAACTAAATGAAAATATGCTCTCTTCATCCCCTTAGATCTATCTTTGGCTAATGGAAACTGGGACTAGCAACGAGGCTGGTGAAGGGACTCAAGCACAAGAGCTATGAGGAGAGGCTGAGGGAGCTGGGGTTGTTTAGCCTGGAGAAGAGGAGGCTCAGGGGAGACCTTATCACCCTCTACAACTCCCTGAAAGGAGGTTGTAGTCAGGTGGGGATTGGTCTCTTCTCCCAGGCAACCAGCAGTAGGACAAGAGGGCATAGACTCAAGCTCTGCCAGGGGAGGTTTAGGTTGGATAGTGGTAAGAAAATTTTTACAGAGAGAGTAGTCAGGCATTGGAATGGGCTGCCCAGGGAGGTGGTGGATTCACCGTCCCTGGAGGTTTTCAAGATGAGACTGGATGTGGCACTTAGTGCCATGGTCTAATAACAATGGTGGGGTTCGACTCAATGATCTCTGAGATCTCTTCTAACCTGGTTGATTCTATGGTTCTATAACTACTGGCAGCACACTGTTGGATTGGTCTGTTTTTGCATGCCTCACATATTGGCAAGGCGCGTCAGTATGAAACATCTGGACAACACACTTCACCTTCAGGACCACCATGGAAGAAACACCAAAATATCTCTAACAGCAGGACATGAATATGTGCAGGAAAACACCTTCTTCCTCTCTGGGGTTAGACAGGCAAGTCACTGCTGTATAGCAAGAAGAGCTGTGGTTTCCCTCTGCATCCCACGCTGTCCCACTGGAACAATACATGACACTGAACACAGCTGGCTGACTGGCAAGGTATCACGCCACAGACCAGGGCATCTCCTGCCCTCCTCCCCAGGGCCAAGGGTAAAGCAAGGCAGCACTCAGTTCACATCTCCCTCCCACACCGATGGAAGGGTTCAACTTCAGGAGCCGGAGGGAGCTGCAGCTCTGCAGCAGCAGGTGCCAAGTTCTGTTGGTTTTAATCTCACCATGGGCTTGGCTCTGCTGGCACCTCCCAGTGATCCACTTAGAAGTGTTGACAGGGATTCTAGTAGCACTCAGGAAGGCTCCAGAAATTACAATGTGCTGAAGAGAGGCAAGTTATGCTCCCACTGCTATCTTTAGCCTGGCTTCTGAGGAAGATCACACTGTCCATCTGTCTGCCAGCCTGTCCATCTGTCTGCCAGCCTGTCCATCTCCTCCCCAATGTGCTCAGTAATTTTTGAATCCATAGTCCAATTTCAACCAAAATTGACTGACAACTCAAAGCTCACAAGATCTCATGCATTTTGTGAAATCCAGCTGTTGGGTAGAGGAGAAAGACCAAAATGTTGCTAAACAGCTTTCTCTCCTGCTTTGGGTTCCAGATGGCCCACCAGTGCAGATGTACTGGCCAGACAGCTGGCATGTATAAGGACTGAGAACAGACACAGCATATTTCCTCATCTCAATATTGTGGGGAGGTGGAAAAGCGGTAGAGGTTTAGGGCTTGGCACAGCAGATATAGGAGAGATGGACCCATTCCATTTTGCATGGTCACACCTTATCAGTCATGTCCAGGAAGGATGGACTCTTCTGACTGTGTTGGAGGGTTAGAGGTTTTAATACTACTCCCACATCAGTGCACATCAGGTTGACCCATCATTGCCAGTGAAACCAGAGATGGACAAGGGCGAGTCTAGGTTTAGTCTTACAGAATTATGTTACAGGGCCATTACTTTCCATTTTCCATGAAGTCAAGTGGCTTTGTCACTCACAAGCAGTGGACACAAAGCCACACATTTATATATATATATACTCACAGACATACACATGATAAATCACAACTTCAGGCATTACTGTTCTTTATACACAGATCCTGGGGGCATACTCTGTGACACAGACCCAGCTTTCATGGTACCTGTTCTTGTCAGTGGAACCCCAGTGTTTGCTAGCAGCAGAGGGATGGGGCAGTCAGGGACATTCTGTTCCATTTCAGATTCTCGAGAATGTGGTTCTATAGGTTGTTTCCCCAAAACAAGGGGGTTTCATCCCAGTGCTTCCAATTTTTCCCTGCTCTCCTGTCTACTGTCTCCTTCCATTGGATTTATCATCCTTCCTTCCTGGCCCAAACCATTTACTCTCTCTCACCAGAACTCTCCTTCTTAGCACTCTTCTGCACATTCTCCAAGCCCAGGATCCTTGTCCACTTCTACAGCATCCTGTCATCTGTAGCCCTGTACAAGCAGTACTGACTAACTTCAATGCTGTTGATAAACCAGTGTGTGTCTGCGCACACAGGAAAGAACACATGCCTGGTATGTTTGCACTGGTACCAATGAATACACCAGCTCTTTGTACCTTATTATTGCAGGTCATTCACAGATCGACATTTTAATGAACACTGATCATGGGAAGAATAACAATCAGTATTGGCCCTCAGTTTTACATAGCTGTTAGCTTTAGTTGGGACCACTGAGAAGTGATGGGTTTTAGAAGCTGAATGACAGTAGAGTGTCTGTGACCTGTTTTCGTGATAAGCCTAAGAATAGCACAACTTTGTAGGAAGTCACTGAAATGTCCCACAAAATGAGAATGAAAACTTTGGGTGGGGAAATCAAATCACTTCAAGAGTTGTCTTGTGATTAAGTTTTACGGCTTATGTTACTAAGTTCTTCCATTATACCACTCAAGTTTCTCAATGTCTATTTAGAAAGGTTTCAGCGGAAATGTTACTAAAACACTGTTGTCACTGTTTCTCTGTCACCAGAAGAATAATGTAGCACAGGCTTCCTGCACTACTTTAACCACAGTGGCACGGGGTTTGGGGTTTTTCTAACTTCAAAATATATTTGTGGCTACCCTGATAATCACAGACAAACAATCAACCTACCACAACAAAGAGCCAAACTGAAGGCACTCAGATACTGCACATACATGAAATGTGTGGGACTGCACAATGTCTTTAAGAAGATGAAATCAGCTATCTTGATTGCTAAAGAAACCTTTTGACCATTCCTTGTTCGACTCTTCCCTTGATTACAATAAACTCATCCTGTGACCATCCCCATTTCTCCTTTCATGCTAACCCAAATGTGCAACTTTTTAGAGTTTCTTCATCCATTTCCTACTGCTTTGTCTCCTGTATCTTTGTTGTTTCCATTGAGCTTTAAGATTGTTTCTACCATGCTTTCTGTGCTGGGATGTGGAAGTGGGGTAGAGATGCTTTTTAGATAGCAGGGCACCATTGATGTGGAAGAGCCTGAGAAAGCTGTTCACAGCTGCTTGCAGTAGCAGAACTGCTCACAGTAGCAGTTCATCAGAGCCAGACACTTGTGATAACGTGCTGCATTCAGTGAGCTCAGTGCTGTTAACAGTCTTAAAATACTGCAGCAGATGAGGAAGGGTTTCGTCTGAATCGCCTCTTAAGTTTGCTCTGGGAGACTAAGAATGACTCTTGGGCTGCAAAGAGTGAAAAGCCATAGACCCCCTCAGATCTAAAAAGAATAACCCTGGATGCTCTGGAGCAGATGGTGTGTGCACAGACTATGCAACTCTCAGCTTGGCCAGGAAACTGGGCTTAGAGAGCATTTTCTACTTACAATAGCAATCCAGTGGTGCTTGAATAGCTACGGAAGAGCAGTAGAAATTGAAAAACCTTAGAGAAGCTGTGAAAAAGCTGAGTAAAGAGATTGTTTCAGTAACCTCTCCTTCCCCACAGGGACCAGTGGGAATAAAGCAAAGCAAGTGAGACCGTTGTTGGCTGAACTGAACAGCAACCAGACAAGGAATACCAAGGAGAACCAACAGGTTTCACTGCAAAACTTTCCATGTAACATATGCAGAGACCATTCCTTGGTTCATTTCTGGGTACATTTTTCAAAAAGGGCTGCTTGCCAAAGACTTCAAACAAAACTTGCAGTTCTGCCGCAAGGACCCATTATTAACATCTTCCTCCAGGGAGGAATTTATCTGCTGTTGACTGGAAGTTGCTTTGACATTTCAGCCACTCCTCTTCCACTGTCTCCAAAATCCATCACACACAAGGAGAATGAGATCTGGTCATTACACAGCCCCTTCTGCTCCCCGTGAACAGGTAGGACTTAACCCATAGCACAGCTGTATGCCTTCTGGAAAATAACTGGTTCTTATCATCTTGTTCATCATTCCCCCTTCAGAATAGACTGTGTCTTCCTGTGCCTGAAATGATTTCCCTTTCCTCCTTCAAATCCCTCCTTATGTCTCATTTGTCATGTGCTTTCCTATGATAGTCCACACTAGGAAGCTGTTTGCTCCCATTTTTGCCTTGATCTTTGAGCATGTAAAGTTGGACAGCTAAATAGAGCAAATGGCTCACTGGGATCCAGCCTGTTCCCATGCACTAGAATGGCACCATGAACACCTGTGGTACTTTCTAAATAACATAACTGCAGAAGAAAATGCAGTCCCAGATCTGATTATTGGCTGCATATAAACCCTATTTATTCTGTGGTGTGTGAAAGGGCCTTAACATGAGAATAATTACAGCTTATTTTCATATACAGAAGACTAAAGGCAGACATCAAGGAAAAAAGACCTATAATCCCAGTGCCCTTAGAATTACAAAAAGCATTTCAGTGTCCTTAAAAATGACAGGCCTAGAATATGGTAGGGTTTAAAATTTATTATCTCTTCAGCCATTACTGCCACACACCAAACTAGCCTGTGAAACTGAACACTGTGACAGTGCATCTTCACCTGAGCTGCTCCATAGCACAGGCTACCCAACCACACCAAATCAGTCTTATGTCTAAATCCAGAGAAGTGCTGTTGGTCTAGGGTGTCCTTGATTTGAACGCTTTACATCATCAACAATCCTCCATGGCCCTTGACAAGTTAATCTCATTGGCTTTCTCTCCCACATTAAACCAACAGACTATAGGCCCACAAGCCCTTCAGAAGTGTCTGTGTCGCCCCATGGCCCATAAAGGGATGCTTGACTTTGACTGGACATTAAACATTTAGATGGTTAATGCTGGGATGAAACCCACCTTGCTGTCTCTAGCTGAGATCTCAAACTTTGCTTCTGTAATCAGGTCTCATTTGGGTCTTGACGTTTTTTATTCTAGAAAAGGTCACCTAATAATCTGGGACCACATCTGTGAGTAAACTCTCTAATGAGAGTAAATTGTTTAATTCTTCTAGGAAAAACAACATGAAATTGTCCAATTACACAAAACAAAGCAAAGCTGGCCTGGAACCCTGCCGCTGTGTCCCTGAGGTACCCCAAGATACTACAGACCTTGTCTAAGAGAGCAGATATAGTGACTCCCACTGATGCACTCTCCTGGCATGTCACTTACCTTAATATGACTGCCTGCAGAAAGAAATGCATCCCTACATCTCAGCAGCCAAATACCAAGAATTAAAGTTATCTGAATATATGCAGGCCTCCAGATCTAAACAATACAAAAATACTGGCTTCTTCACTGTTACCTCAATAGCATCTTATGGTGCCTTTTCAACACATGCTGTCACACAGAAAGGTCATCTGCTCCTAGGAATCATACCTTGTTTTTGCCCTCTATTACAGCCGTTCGCTCAGTGATGCTCTGGATCCTGTTACCTATGTTGCTGCCAGGTCTCAGGATGAAAGATCCTTCAGTATAAAAGCAAAAGCCATGCCTGAAGACAACAAAAATTAAAATTTTATTGATTTGGTGATTGACATTCAACACATAAGGCAAAACAATTGTTCTGAGAACACTGATCAGTCAGAGAAACTGCAGGTACTGTGATGAGCAGGCAAGTACAGTTATTTCTCATTAAATCTTGAGGTTTGGAGCCTGATTGTTGGATCTACTTCTTAAACATTAGCTCTCTGGAGTCAGTGCTCAAATTTAACCCACTGTGGACCAGGAGGTCAGAACTTACAGTCTGAGCCTAATTATAGGGCTATGCAAGACCAACACCCCAGTTCCAATGCTCCACTATGCATCACCATGGTTCAAGGTTGGCTTCAAACATGAGTTCATAGTATTTTCAGCCTTTAACTCAAGACAAATTGTATTTGTTTCAAGATCCATTCCATAATGTATTGGGTGCTGCTTTACTATGTGCAGGTTCTTTTTGTGATAGTAAAATATTATGAAGGTTCTAATTTCTGAACATTTTCTTCAGTTCAGTTTACAAAATTGCAAAATAGCAATATTAAGACTCATTGATTACGAGGCACATGGTAAAAATAAGCATAATCCTGCAAATTACCAAAACTACACCTAAATGCCAAAGGGACTTAAAGGTTAATTTAACTGGGAAAAAAATCAAATAAATCTTAATGAATGGAAGTACCAGCAAAAATATGTTTTTGTCTTATGCAACAAATTGGCTTGTAATCAGAAGTCAGGTGTGGTCATGGAGGAGTTAATTGTTTCTCAAAGCCTAGTTTAGTACACATGGAAATAAACACATTGGAATGCTTTTTAAATGCTGTCTGACCCTATTATTCTTTGAGAATATCTAGTTTAGATTTCCACCCAAAATTAATTGTTCCTTGTGCTGGAATCAGCATCATCAGTAGAAATTAACACTTAGCTGGGCAAAGCTCTTAAAAATATGCCATGGTCCTTTGATCTTCCATGGATTTGAAAGATAATTACTGTAGTATCTGTAATCAAATAGTTCTGACAGTTGTTTGGAGAAATGAGCTTTAAAGCCCAGTGAGTGGAAAATGGAATGTGCTGCAATCCTA